AATGGAGCAATTTCTTGTAAAACATATGCTATCACAGTTCACTCAGTATCAAATAGATAATTTGAGTTGCCCTATCACTATTAAGAAGTATGATTCATAATTTAAAAACCTCCCCAAAAGGAAACTTCCAGGCACAGATGTGGCTCTGGAGAATTTTACCAAACATTTAAAGAAAAATTAACATCAATTCTCTGCAGTCTTTTCCAGAAAATAGAAGAGGGAACACTTCCCAATGAATTTTACTTTTTTCCCCCCAGTGCATTTTATAAAGCTCGTATTACCTTGATATCAAAACTAAAGACAGTACAGAAAAAATAAACTATAGACCAGTATTCTTAATGATTATAGACATAAATTCCCCCCCCCCTTTTTTTAAGTAGGTTTCATGCTCAGTATGGAGCCCAACGCAGGGCTTGAACTCACAACTCCAAGATCAGGAACTGAGCTGAGATCAAGAGTCAGACACTTAACCAACTGAGCCACCCAGGCACCAGGACACATAAATCCTTAACAAAACATTAGCAAACAGAATTCAGCAATATATAAAAAGAATTATACACCATGACTCAAGTAGGGTTTGTTATTTCGGGGATGCAAATCTAGTTAAATATTTGAAAATTGATCAACACAATCCACCATATTAACAGACTAAAGAAGAAAAACCAGGATCAATTTGATGCAGAAAAAAAAAATTGACAAAATACTAATTCTTGATTAAAAACTTTAAGAAAGATGGGAATAGTGGGAAACTACTTCAATTTAATAAAGAGTATCTACAAAATATTCTATAGCTAACATATTTAATGGTGAGAGACTAGATGCTTTCTGCCTATGATCAGGGACAAAGCAAAGATGTTTGCTCTCATCACTCTTGTTCCTAGCCAGTGCAGTCGGGCAAGAAAATTAAATAAAAAACATACAGATCAGAAAGAAAGAAATTAAACTATCCCTGTTTGGGGGCGCCTGGGTGGCTCAGTCAGTTAGGTGGTTGACTCTTGATTTTGGCTTGGGTCATGATCTTGGGGTCCTGGGATTGAGCCCCATGTTGGGCTCTGCACTCACCGGGGATTCTGCTTCAGGATTCTCTCTCTAACCCTGCCCCTCCCTCTGCTCACACACTCTCTCTCTCTCACTCTCTAAAATAAATCTTAAAAAATAAATAAGTAGGGCGCCTGGGTGGCTCAGTTGGTTAAGCGACTGCCTT